AACAGACTTACGCAGATTGCGCACTCTGTGGTTCATCCGTCCCAGACTGCTTTCATGCCTGATCGAAACATCCTTGAAGGGGTTGTTGTCTTGCATGAAACGCTCCATGAACTCCACTCAAAAAAACTTGATGGCGTAGTTTTTAAAGTGGATTTTGAAAAAGCATATGATAAAGTTAAATGGCCTTTCCTTCAACAAGCTTTGCGTATGAAAGATTTTGATCCGGACTGGAGACACCAGATTGATTCCTTTACGCAAAAAGGGAGTGTAGGGATTAAAGTGAATGACGACATAGGTCACTATTTCCAAACACACAAGGGGCTAAGGCAAGGAGACCCGATGTCACCGATCCTGTTTAATATAGTGGCTGATATGCTCACTATCTTAATAGGTCGGGCCAAGGATGCAGGGCAGGTAGGTGGCCTGGTCCCACATCTAGTTGACGGAGGGATTTCCATTCTTCAGTATGCTGATGATACAATCATCTTTATGGAGCACGACTTGGCGAAAGCAAGAAACATGAAGCTGCTATTATGCTTATTTGAACAACTATCTGGCCTCAAAATTAACTTTCACAAGAGCGAATTATTTTGCTTTGGAAGAGCAAAGGAGGACCAGGACACGTATAAACAATTGTTCAGATGTGAATTGGGTTCCTTACCTTTTACGTACTTAGGTATACCCATTCATCATCGTAAGCTGACTAACAGTGGGTGGAAATGCATCAAGGATCGCTTTGAAAAGAAACTGAGCTGTTGGAAAGGAAAGCTCATGTCATACGGAGGACGATTGATTTTGATTAATTCGGTCCTTACCAGTATGCCTATGTTTCTCTTATCCTTTTTCCAGGTTCCGGTGGGAGTCAGGAAAAGGTTAGATTTCTACCGATCTCGGTTCTTTTGGCAGAATGACGACCTCAAACGAAAGTATAGGCTTGCTAAGTGGGATATAATATGTAGGCCGAAGGACCAAGGGGGTCTAGGTATTGAAAATTTGGAAGTTAAAAACATATGTCTCCTTAGCAAATGGTTGTTTAAACTTTCGTCTGAGACGGAAGCTACTTGGGCTCAGATTTTGCGTCATAAGTATCTTTATGCTAAAACCCTGGCCCAGGTAAATGTGAGGCCTTCCGACTCACCCTTTTGGAAGGGTTTGATGAGAGTCAAACAGCTTTTTTTCAACAAGTCAAAATTTATTGTCGGGAATGGAGCCACTACGAGATTATGGGAGGATACGTGGCTTGGGGAGACTCCCCTTGCACTTCAATATCCTACTTTGTACAACATTGTGCGACGTAGAGAAGCCTACGTTGCATCTGTTCTACAATCCACTCCCCTCAATATTAGTTTTCGAAGGACGCTAGTCGGAAATCGTTGGGAGGCTTGGCTCCACCTTGTTAGACGTTTAATGGAGGTTCGGCTGAACCAGCAACCAGATCAATTGCGTTGGAAACTTACTAAGAACGGTGCGTTCTCGGTTAAGTCTATGTATCTGAATGTCATTAACTCTAGCGTTGTCCCTTCCTCGATTCACGTTTGGAAAGTAAAGGTTCCCTTACGCATCAAAGTGTTTATGTGGTTTGTGCATAAACAGGTCATTTTGACTAAGGATAACCTGGCAAAACACAACTGGATGGGCTCATCTAGGTGTAGCTTTTGCGATAATAATGAAAACATCAAACACCTCTTCCTCGATTGTCCGTTGGCTAAGATTATGTGGCGGTCAATTCATATTGCGTTTAATATTAATCAGCCCACCTCTATCAACATGTTATTTGGACCATGGCTTGATGGGGTTGATTCCGATACTGCAAGACACATTCGTGTTGGCGTTTGTGCTTTACTTTGGGCAATATGGAACTGCAGAAATGATTTAGTATTTAACAGATCAACAAATATTCACTTTTTGCAGGTTATCTTCAGGGCCACGGCATTCATCCGTATGTGGCCGCTACTCACTCCGACGGAGGCCAGGGAGCGTTTGGTTACTGCGTCTACCCAATAGGAGATGGTAGCGCGCGATATTTTCAACCGGTTTGGATGGCGGTCATGTAATAGGATAGGCATGTAGTGCTCCTATTGTGTTTGCCAGCCGGTTGTGGCTTAGGATTTCAGCTCTTTCGAGCTTTTGCTTTGTTGTCGCACATCGATACTTGGAGACTTTGTTACTGAATTCTATTTTTAATAATATGAGCCGTATGCATCTTTCTGATGCAGAGGCTGAGGTAAACCCCCTTTTCGAAAAAAAAGAAAAAGGCGGCGTGGGCACCGGGTTAGGGTCCGTGGCGGCCGCAGAGGCATAGGGTGTGGGAGGGGAAGGGTGGCACCTGTGGCCTGTGGGTGCTGGAGAAGAGCCCATGGCGGCCACCAAGGGAGACGCGGCTACGGAGATGAGGAAAGGGGAAGGAGAGGAAAAATGAGTGGAGGATTGTATCGCTGGAAAGATATAAGATGGAGGAAGCAATGCATGAGCCAGTTGTGTGTCGCGAGTGCGCTGTCAAACGTGGGCATACAGGAGGCGTTGGGTCAGACAAGATCAGACGGGTCGCATGCGACTGGCGCAACGTTCCGCTGGTTGTCCGGTGTTAAACGTTTTCCAAATCAAATAAAGTTATAAATAGGGTGTGGTTAGGTCTCAGTCGACTGAGACTTAACCAAGTCTAAACTAAATAACATAACATGTAAAAAAGAAAAAAAGAAAAATATTTTTGTTTGCATGGATTTTTATGTAAGAACCCATGGATATAGAGCGTGCTTGGATCCAAGGGACTATTTCTAGTCTGATTAAAAATAGTCTTTTTTAGAGACTAAAGTTCCAAGCACTCCTGACTAAAGAGAGTCTAGGACTAGTTTTGAGACTAAAAAATTTTAGTCATAGGAAACCTACTAAAATATGTATTAGCCCTCTCTCTCCTCATTTAATTCCCCTCCTTTAACACATGCGAGTTCTGGATTGGAGGATTTGAAGGATAATAAATACTCAATAACTTAATTTTAGTCTTTTTAGTATTTGGATCCAAGCATAGGTGAGGCTAGCAAGTTTTAGTCTCACTACTTTTAGTCATGTGACTAAAACGTATCCAAGCACCCTCATAGTATCGATTAAGACTTGATAAGTTTCAGTCGACTAAGATTTAACAGTCCCTTTTATATGTAGAAAGATGCTCGTGTCCCTCTTATTTATGAGTTGCCCCAAAGGGATTGCAACGTGTCCTTTCTTGGGAAGGCAATCAATTGCACTACTGGAAGTCAGACTCGTTTTGAGTCCCTACAGCCCACGAATCCAATTCGCTTTGCATATCTTCGTTCAAAAACTTGCTCTACATACCGAATTGAACCTAGCACCTCCACGGAAGCTACTATGCCTATGAATCTCCATCGTTTAAACATCTTATTACTTTTGAGTACTAAATATCTGCCGTTCGTTTTCTATCGTTTTTACTAGGCCAATGAATCTCCACCGTTTAAATATCTTAACTTTTGGAGTACTAAATCTCTGCCGTTTGTTTTCTATCATTCTAATAAATAATCGGTAATTAGATAGATTCTTCTTCTTTGTAGGTCATTGTTTGTTTTCTATGATTCTAATAAATAATAGATAGGTTCTTCTTCTTCTTTGTAGGTCATTTTTCAGTGTGTACCCATTTGGTCCATTTGTGATTGTCTCTTCAGTCTGGTCTGTAAATAGTTAGAGCAGGTGGTAAGCGATATTTTTACCCACATGGATGACAGTGTACTCTAGGGATCGGCCCTCAGTCGCCTTAGGCGTTGCTATCAGTTCCTCAAATATTTGTATTGCGCCTTTTTTTTTATTTGTGCGGTTGTGTGCATTCTAATTATACAGTGGCCGGCTTCAAGCTCCTATGAATTGTATCGGCGTGGTGCTAACTTATGAGTTCAATAAAGTGCCCTTTACCGAAAAGGAAAAACAATCACGGCTGCCTATGCCATACAAGCACACTTACTCTTCAGCATGTAACTGTACATGTCTACACCGTAACACATGATCTACTCACTAATTGTCGATTCTTATACTTATAAGTTTACGTTTGTTTACTTGTTTTCTACAGTCAGCAAAGGAAACCCTATTAACTTGTAAACAACTAATGAAATACAAAATATATGGCTGTTCAATGTAATTAGGCCTTATGATATCTTACTGAAGAAAAAAAAATGTGAACATCAGAAACTACATACTCTCGGAGAAAATGCTGCTGCCACTTTTCCTCCATTTAGCATTATCATTATTCTCAAAGAAAACTTATTAATTTATATAGGTGGATAAATAAACATAGAAATCAACATTTTTTAGATGTGACAAGAAATTCCATCTAGAAATAGTAAAATTAGAAATATAAAATCCTTCGGTTCACTCAACATGAATACATCTGGCCTGAACTACTAATTGACCCACTGATAAAAATATAATGTAATGTTGTTTGCTTGAATTTGGTAAATGTTAAACACATAGATCATAAACTCTGTAAAATGAAAACTAGTGTACAACCTTACAAACAAGAACAACAAAAATGCACTGAAATGAAGCTGATTTATTTTTCTTTGAAGTAAATAAAGTTTTATTCAAGTCTTATATCTCATGCCCTAGTATTTTTCTTTTTTCCTAATAAATTTTGTACTTTTGTTTGAAATTTCGAAAGTGTAGCTTTATGATAACATTGACAATATAAAGTTTTGTTCAAGTCTTGTATTTCATGCCCTACTAGTTTTCATTTACTCTGAACTAATAGTATATAATTGTTAATATTAAACTAAGTCTTTCTTTCTTTTGCAAATTTTTAATATTAAACTTCGTCTTTGCTTTCTGAACTTGTATTTTTTAGCGAACTCTTTTATGTATACATGGCACTTTGTGTACACCAACCGGGGAGTTTATTTAGGTGAGGAAATAGAAACTTATTTCATCTCAGAAATTGTTTGCGGCATTCCACTGGTTATAGAAATTGATGCATGTATGGATGAAGAAACTAAAACCATACGTACCTCTTTCCTGTCAATATCCGTGCAATGTCACGGATAAGTTGCTCTTTAGTCCAAACATCCTTCTTGCATTTTCTGAATACGTCTGGATCGATTTGAAATAGGACATCTTTCAAGAGCTTGTCGAGATCAAGGGTGCGCGATACCGACACAGAAGCTCGGCACTTAAAGTACCCCTTAATCTTACGATTTAGCTCCATGGCAAGGGTCGTCTTCCCCAACCCCCCACCTCCAAAAATGGCCACCACCTTCAGCTCCAGGCTATCCTCCATCAACCAGGCCATAACCTTGTTCATGGGGACATCCATCGCAACCAACCCCTCGGCCTCCTCATAGAACGCGGCTAGCCGGGGATCTATCTCCACGGTCCTCGGTGTACTTGTAACAAAGTTGTCGAGATTTAACCTCTGCCGCCGCTCGCTCTCCTCCACAACACGGGCCTTGAGCTCCTTGATCTGGGTCCCGATGCCATGGCGAGCAAAAATAGTGTTGAGCCGGCGCACGGTCCTCTTCATGAACCCACGCTTGGCGTCTCCCTTGCCGAGACGGACCATGAAGCGGTCGATACAGTCTTCCATGTCGTAGCTGAGGTCCCGCATGGTGCCCTTCCAGTCCTTGGCCAGCTTGTCGAGCTTCTCCATGTCCGCCAGGATGTTCACCAAGATCTGCATCCGGCGGAGCTCGCGCTCGAGGAACGCGATGTCCTTGCGTACGCCCTTGAGCAGCTTGTACTCGTCGCTGAGCAATGTGGTGAGCTTGCCGAGGAGGGAGCTCAACGCCCCCGTCCCGGCGCCAACCCCCGCCATCTCCGTCCCTTCTCCGGTCTCCCGAGAGTCGAGAAGAAGCCGCTAAACAATCGCCATTGTTGGTTTTGGTTGTGTTGGATGGAGGAATGGTGCTGAGCCTGGGGGCAGAGAGCGAGGTGGCAATAATGGAGGAGCGCTGCGACACTGTGAGCTCCTAGTAGTACTACTACCTAGACGCCTAGTCAATACTAGGAGAAATGAGACCCTGTAGTATGTGCATGAATGTGAGATGCGTCCACAGCAGTGGTTGGTGGTCTTTGATGGAGGAATTAATGGCGATGAGCTTGAGCAGAGCAAGCTGCCGATCAGGCCATAATGGAGGAACGTGGTGTGTTGCTGCCTGCTGCTGCCCTAGTCGGACCGCTTTACTCACCTAGTAAAGAAAAATTGGCAGTTCTTCTGGTGAAAATGGACAAAACTATCCTACAGTTAAAAGTTTAGCACAAAATGAATCGGCTTTGGAAAAAAAATTGAGAGATCCTTTTTCATGGCGCCCACCCACAGCACGCCATGTTTACGTTGCATGGCGCCGTAGCCTGCTACAGAATAATACAGACCATGGCACCCTAATCCAGATTTCAAAAATAAACGGCTCATTTTGTGCTGAATTTTCAACTTTGGTCAGTTTTGTCGATTTCGTCGTTCGTTCTGCCATGCTTGAAAGGAAGCCAGGCCGCTTTCATGAGGTTACAGTGCATGTATGTGAACGGGCGTGGCTGTGCGAACAGATGTCAGATGGCCTTCGTCTCTGGCCGCTTTGATGAGGCTGCACTGTATGCGTGTGAACTGGCGTGGCTATGGGAATCTTCGCGGAAGCCAAGCAAACCGAAGTATCCTCTAGATGTGCAAGTCATCTTACGAAAATCAAATAATTCCAAAACACTTACACGTGGTACATTAACTTCTATCTCGTTTCTTGTTTCTTGACATATCAACCAATAAGATATGTGGGGTGTGCATGATTTTAATGACTTCCTCAAAGAATAGATAAACTATTTAAAGCATCTAAGATGCAAATTTTAAAAATGCAAGTAGGAGATGTTAAAAAATTACATCTTTAAAAAAATACCTTTTGCATCTTAAAAAAGTGCCAACTCTAACAGACAATGCAAAACGAAGATGTAAAACAGCTACTCCAACAGAAGATGCAAACTAGAGATGTAAAACCGGCGCGGCTGCTGTTCAGCCACTGCACAGCTGCATTTGCACATTTAATTTTCATAATTCTAGCAACAAAATGCATCGTTAACCATAGTTTTAAATCCTACAAATAAAGGTTAATTGTCTCGAACGGAATTGTTGGTCCAACAAATGAAAAATACATATAGACATCACTCAATTTGCGTTCTCTCCGTTGTCACTAGTGCCATTATGGATGGTGGTATGATCATCATCAATGGCATCTTTGTCGATGTTTTCTTGCGTTGAAGTCTCGTTGTCGCGAACTCCACCGGAAGCACCTTCATTGGCACCTCCCGTGCCGCTCATGTTGCCACCGAAGCCACCCCACATGCCACTCATCATGTTGCCGCCAAACTCACCTCCCATGCCACTCAACATGTTGTCGCCGAAGCCACCTCCCATGCCACTCATCATGTTGCCGCCGAAGCCGCCTCCCATGCCGCTCATGTTGCCGCCGAAGCCGCCTCCCATGCCGCTCATGTTGCCGCCTAAGCCACCACCCATGCCGCTCATGTTGCCGTCTAAGAGCATCTCGAGCCGTTGTGCCTCCCAGGAGGCTTTTTTTTGCCCTCCTGGGGAGGCCCCGGCGAAATTTTTGCTTTGGGGGTGAGGATTTTTCCAGTCGTCGCCCCAACCGGACACCTGCCCAGTCCACGCGCGCGCCGCCCAGGCCACGTCTGCACCGCTCCGGCCACGCCCACGCCGTGCCGTTCGCCAGCAGCACGCCCACGCCGCGCCGTCCGTCAAGTACGAGCAGGCTCAAAGACACCGGGCAGCAAGAGGATGAGCAAGGAGAGGTACATGGATGACGCGAAGAGAAGAACAGCCGGAGCTACACGACGATGCCGGACTCGCCGTGCAGGGACTCGACGACGGCGCAGCAGTCCGTGCCCAGCCCGTCGTCGGTGGGCATGGGCGCGGCGGAGGCCCTGAACCAGCTGCACCTGCCGGCGGACCTCACGGCGGAGCTGTACGAGAGCCTGCAGTTCTTCTCGGCGACGTTGCAGCCGGGGAGCTCGAAGCGGGACACCTTCTTCACGCCGACCAAGAGCGAGCGCGTGCGCGCAGCCTCTTCGGCCACTACTCTGACTACCCCGCGCGCTCCTCCTCCGCCTTGCCACGCGCGCTCCGGCCATGCCCCCGCCTCGCAAGCTCCGGCCTCGCCAGCCCCAGCCTCACCAGCTCCGGCCAGCGCCACCGCTCCTCGAGCCCGGGCCGGCGCGCGGCGAGCAGGGCGGCGACGGCGGCGCGCTGTGAGTAGGGCGGCGCGGCGGAGCTGTGTGAGCAGAGGGCGACGGTGAGGAGGCAGAGGCCGGCGTGCGGCGAGGAGGCGGCCGCGACCAGCAGGGGGGCGAGTATGTGGGGAAAACACGTGGGTGGGGACCAGGAGGAAAAGTATGAAGAGACGAGTGGGAGGCTGACAGTGGGCCATTGACATGCAAAATTTTCTCTCTCTGCCCCAACAACCCCCGGTGGCCTGGGATCGCCCTGGTACCGCAGCTCTGTTTTTGGCCAAATCCGGCGGGGGGCTTTTTGGGGAGCCTAGTGGAGATGCTCTAAGCCATCATCCATGCCACCAAAGCCATCATCCATGTTGCCACCAAAGCCACCTCCCATGTTTCCACCAAATGCACCATTCATGGCACCACCCATCATATTCATGTACCCGTCCATTCCACCTTCCATTCCTCCTCCCATTCCACCCCCCATTCCTTCCATGGCAGCTCCCATTCCTCCTCCCATCATGCTTCTCATGAGCATTTGCTTCGACCCAGTCCTCGAGGCGACGCGTTAATGGAGGATCCGTGGGGACTGGGCACTAGGCGATGGGGTATAAACTACCTCTCCGTCGCGTTCCTGTGCTCTCCAACCTATAATGGAGATGGCCAAGGGAGGGCTCCCTTCTGCATAATTCTGCTCGTGCGCAAACAAGTAACCGGTCGAGTGCTTCAGAGCGAACAAGCCGAGCACGGCATGTCGTCGACGAGGCCCGGCAAACTAATTGGAAAGGGGCAATGCATGTCACTCGAAAAAGTCATGTTCAATTGGTTCAATTTGGGACATTCGGCCTATGGTAGTTTGACATTTTTATGGAAGGGAAGCATAAAAATATCGTGGTCAATGATCACAAGACTTGGTGTGAAACAGGCCCAAGGCACCAAAGCACTGGAATCATTCAAAAACTGTGGCATTCTTGCTACCGATTGACACTGTTCATCAAGTATACGTCATAGTACTATATTTATACACGTACGCAATAAAATTGTTCTTGTATTTCAAAATAAATGTTCATGTCTTTGAGAAACAAAAAGTATTCATGACCCCTATATTGATGTATTTATTGCAAAAGGATTTTTTATAAATTAGTTCAAGTTAAAAGAATAGACGTTCATGATTTTAAAAATATACTATCGGAGTGAATGCTATCCGTGTGGATGCTCTCGTCTCGCCTTCCAATCCAAGTCTCGTCTCGTCTTGTCCCGTTTCTCGAGGCGACACATTAACGGAGGAATGCGATACTGGCGGCCCTCTGTTCGTCCTCCAGCCGAGAACGGAGACGGCCTAGGCGATCCAGTTGTTCAGATCCAACCAACTGCGCGGCGGCTAGAGGTATGTGCGGTGTGAATCTTTGCTTCTTCTCCATCTCTTCCGCTGGCCGGCTCTGATCTCACCCATTCCCTGTCCGTCGCCTCCGATGTAGCTGCTGCGCCACCCACCTGTTCGACGGAATGGCTCGCAGCAAGGACCGCTTCGAGGACCTGCCGGACGACGTGATCGAGCTGCTCTTGTCGTTCTTGCCCACGCGAGATGCAATGAGGACATCCGTGCTCGCTCCCCGCTGGCGCACCCTATGGAAGTCCGTGCCAGCCTTGCGCCTTGACGGTTCTCAGTTCGAGAGTGCCCAGGTTTTCAGCAATTTCGTCAATAAGCTGCTTGAGCACCGTGACAGAACATCCCATCTTCATGAATGCGAGATATTTTTTATTTCAAAATACTACTATGGGAGGTTCGATCGTGAGGACAAAAACGGTAAGGCACGCCGTGAAGTTGAATCATGGGTCCAGTATGCTGTCTTGTGCCGAGTGTCGGTACTTCGAGTTCTAGACCAGGGTGCTGATTATTCTCGTTTGGAGCTACCCAACAGCAGTGTCATTTCCAAGCACTTGACAAGGCTAGAGCTTTATCATCTGGCATTTGACGAAAGCCGTCTAGATCTTTTCAGCTGTGAGGTACTAGAGGTGTTAGAGATAGATGATTGTTTCATCAACATTGGGGATAACTTACCCAAATCTTTACGACATCTGAAACTCATAGATTCAAGACTTTATCCCACGGATACAGAACGGAATTGCCTTTCCACTCCAGGTCTGCTTACCTTTCAACTAGCTGACTGTGTGGGGTGGACTCCGTTGCTTGAGAGCCTGCCATCATTGGTGACATCATTTATCAGGATTAGCATGGATTCTGAAGATGCTTGTCATAATGACTACCTTGGGGATTGTGGTGACGGGTCATGTGACGGATGCTATGGTGAAGATGATCATTGTCTACTTCTTCAAGGTTTGGCAGGCGCTACGAATTTAGAGCTGATAAGTGAATATTCTATGGTACGTTTTCCCTTTTTCCAACTCCATGTGTTGATTGCCATACAACATTGCGTACATGTTAAGTGTTAAACTTGTTCTTAATGTCGAATTTCAAGTTTTTTACAATAATTGGGTTAGAAGATGGCAGTACATTGCATACTCTTTTTAGTAATCATGTGACATCTGCAATAATTGGGTTGTGAAGATGGCAGTACATTATAATTTATTGATAGTTGATGCTCCTCACCTCGTACTATACATAATAAGCATATGATTAAGATATGTTTTTTTGAGTAGACCAAAAACTTGTAAAATCTGGTTTGTGTAGCTCTCTATCTGCTCAAAATTGATTACCTGAAATAAAAACTCAAGAAACCTTATTCAATTCAGCATTACTGAATCATGTCTTCTGAAGTACTGCCTCCTTTCACAAATATAAGATGTTCTGACTTCTTTCTGAATCGGATGTATGTAGACATGTTTTAGCATGTTTGTTCGCTAATTTCAGTCTGTGTGTAGTCCATATTGAAATATCTAAAACACCTTATATTTGTGAGCGTAGAGAGTAATAACTTGTGTTGTTTTTAAATCCCCTGCAATTTGTTAAGATTTTCAGAAAGGACTTGAGATGGAACCCTATGTTTAGCAAGCTAAAAACTGTGTTGTTCAATGATTGGTGTCTGACTGCAAACTTCGCTGGACTACTTTACTTTCTTCAGCACACACCAATTCTAGAAAAGCTTACCCTTCAACTTCCATCTCGCGAGGTATATGTTTTTCATATATGATAGCTTTTGTCGCTGAACCTAACATTTATAGCTGATTCATTCAAGTAAAATCATATGTTTTCAACAGTATTTGGACATCGTATCAAGTGGAAGCTACAACCCAGCAGAATATTTCTTGGTGTCGAAGCATCCGAAGGTAGTTGAAATCTATTGTAGGAAGGTGTCTGAATGGATTAATCAAATTGTGAACATCCTTGGTATTCATGGAGTAACTTCTGCGCAAATTAGCATCAAACATGATTTTTGGTGTTCTTTCAGTAAGTAACTAATACTACAATTTGCTAATGTTTATGTAGTCTGCATATGTGTCATTAAAATCAAAAAGTAAACCTAATGGACTTTAAATTATTTAGTAAATTGAGAAATTTAAAAAGTCTATTTGAATGTTGTATGATATCCACGTCACATATTTTATTGAGAATGATATTTTTTCAAAGGAAGTTTCATATTTTTACTGAAAATGGGATTAGGCCAAAGCAAGTGAAAAAAGGAAAATAGGCAAATGAACAATGTGAGGCATTTGTTCACTATTTAGTTGAAATGGGTCATTTTATAGCTCATCTTTCCAGTATCTGCGTAGTGAGATCAATTTGTATGTTGGCTCACTGTTCCAAAACTATTTTTTATGCAGTATTTGCTTGAGTTAAGTGCCGGTTGCTGTGGACCGTGCCTTATCATGTTTTAGTCCGCACTTTCATGTGCTCATTGTGCTCTCTATGGTTCACACAGGGTTCAGTTTCGAGCAGCCGAGGTAGATCAGATGGTCTACTATTCCTGGTTATTCAAGCTTTGGTGTCCCTGAATCAATGTTGGCAGCATAGGCTTTCTATGTTTTGTCTACCTGGATCGTGCGCATGTCCTGTTCCATTCATATGCAGGATGAACTCCCGTCGAGACGCAGTTTGAGTAGGTTCAAATGTCGATGCAGTAATGTTGCATGTTTGGCCGGTGTCGGGCCACAACAGATTTACCTATTGAAGGCCTATGATCTATTATATGTTTATAAGCAACTTGTATGTCTAGCTTAACTTGTGTAAAATGGTACCTGCTCTGTTATATGGAGTAAACATTCATGACGCCAGGAATACTGCTTTAGTTTTTTTTTTCATGATTACTTGGTTTCTTCGCGTCACATGTTTGGCACTCCGCACTTGCTAAGCATGCTTGTTTGTCATTCTGCTCGATCGGTTCTACAAGACGAGAATGAGATCAATGTGCATGCCATTAGCTATATATAAGTAGTTCAACACTTCAATTTGTGGCCTTCATAATACCGAAGTGCAGTTAGTCTGGCTCCATTTTCCATTAACAATGATCAGTACAAGCTATGTTGCTGATCATGGCTTTGCTTTTAGAGTAACAACCTGCTATGTTGCAACTTGGCTGTCTTTCTGGGTGGGCCGAGCATGTCGTGGAATAGAATTATTCCTTTCTCCTGGGAAAGATATCAACGTAGCAAATGCACACTTTGAATGATGGCACAATTTGATTTCTTGCTCTGCTATTCACAGGCAGCAGAGCACACTTTGTTATATTTTTCATGCTCTGCTATTGAGTGCAGAAGAGAGTTAACTAATGCAAATGTGCCATTGATGGTAGTGCAGCCAGGGCCAGGCTCACCCTCTAGAGCACCACATTGGCTCCAGTGAAACACAGTTATAATGTAAGCGTCCATGCTACCGGCCGGCTTTACTGAAATCTCTCATGACGGACCTTTTCTGTGATGATTTCAGTCAGAGATTTTGCGAACCTAACACCCCTAAGAGCAGGTTGAAGCTACTCAGTGTATTAGGACTGCATAGATAACTACTACTAGGATTTCGTTGTCAGTCCCTACCACTTGTGCGACACACCATGGTCTTGGACTCCTGGTGTATATATGTCTCCTGAATTTTATCTGTGGCAGTTCTAAATAAGATATATGATGCGAGGATACGCAACTGTCGTTCAAAATCTGTTGTATATTTACAATGTTCATAATTTGAGCCAGATTATTTAGAACATTGTAGGCTAATTTTTTTAATTAGTACTATTGTTTAGGCTCACTTTTTGTAGACTTTTTTATTTAGTAGTATATGGGTCACGCTATTCGTCACCCTGAGTGAGGAATAGTTATTCTTCACCCCCTCTATTTTTACATCAATGCACAATATTTTCACGCTCGTAAATTTTGTCTTATTTAATAATTACAAAGAGAAAGTAAGAAAATATTGACTCGCCGTAAAAAATAGTTTATATTACGTAAAATTATGAACGTGAAAACATAGTGTAAAAATACATAAAATGCGATTTTTCTGGTCTTATAACCTATATTTTTGTTTTTATGCCAAAATTTACATAATGAATCAATATGAATGTAACTATTTGCATACAAATGTAATTTATTTATGAAACGATCATAAGATTATCTTGGGTGAAGAAAAGTTTTTTTTGAAATGTTGTTCCTTATGGCTTTGGTTCATTAACAAAGGTCAAAGAGAATTGCCCGGTTAATTAGCAGAATACCGAGCGAAAACCGTCACATCATGCCCGCAAAAACAAGGCACCCTCAACGACCACTGAAGAATAATTTATTATGCACCTTGAGTGATGAATATTAGTATTATTAGTAATATTTACTCCCTCCGTCCTATAATATAGGACGTTTGTTGACACTAGTTTAGTGTTAAAAAATGTCTTACATTATGGGACGGAGGGAGTAGGATATTCTTGTTTTTATACATTGGATATAGAACATCATCACCCGCAAAAAAAAGATATAGAATATCATCGACCTCTCAGTGACTCCTAATTTGCTTACCCGAAAAAAAAATTTGGAAATGTCGGAACAATATAAAAAAATTAGATATGTACATGCCCAAACATTCAGGGGCAAAAGTCCGTTGTTGGTCTGGGTGTTGTGTTCTCACGTATGAATGCTCTCGCCTTGCGTTGTTCGTCGTCTCGTCTTCCGCTCCTCTCCTCTCCGTTGCTAGAGGCGACGCATTAATGGACTGGGGACTAGGCGATGCGTTATAAACTGCCTCTCCGTCGCCTTCCTCTGCCCTCCGATGGCCCAGGGAGGGCTCCCTCTGAACGTGCCGGCCTGATCGAGTGGTTCAGTGCGAACTCACTGACCACGGCGTGCCGTCGACGAGGCCCGGCGACTAGAGGTACGTGAGGTTATCCTTTTCGTCTGCTTGGCTGATGGTCATCTTGCTTACTACGTGTTCATTTCCTCGGCAGCCGCGGCGCGAGCCACCTGTTCGACGGAATGGCTGGCAGCAAGAAGGTGGCTGTGGCTGGCGGCAAGGACCGCTTCGACGACCTCCCGGAGCATGTGCTCGAGCTGCTGCTGTCGTTCCTGGACGCGCGAGATGTCGTGAGGACGTCCGTGCTCGCTCGCCGCTGGCGCAACCTCTGGAAATCCGTGTCGGTCCTGCGCTTCCGTCCTTCTTCCCAGTTCGGATGCGCTGAGAACTTCAATAATTTTGTGAATAAGGTGCTCGAGTGCCGTGACCAGACTCACCTCTTCGTGAATGTCATGTCCATTCATATCTGGACGGTGAAGAAGAAGTGGCACACCGTGATGTTGAATCATGGGTACAGTATGCTGTCTCATGCCAGGTGTCGGTGCTTCGAGTTCTAATGTGGGGTGAAGATCAATGTAATTTGGAGCTGCCAAACAACAGTGTCATCTCCAGGCACTTGACAGATTTAATGCTTTATCCCGTGAACTTTGATCGTGAAAGCCCTCTAGATCTTTTGAGCTGTCAGGCACTAGAGGTGCTAGATATAGATTGCTGTCATGCCAACCTTGGGGATATCTTACCCAGATCTTTACAACATCTGAAAATCGTACATTCAACCCTTCTTTCCATGCACACACCACGGAATCGCCTTTCTGCTCCAGGTCTGGTTACCTTTGAACTACAGCACTGTGAAGAGTGGACTCCGTTGCTTGAGAGCGTGCCATCATTGGCAACATCATCTATCACTATTGGCTTTGAATGCAAAGATAATTGTGATAATCTTAAGTACCTTGGGGATTGCGGCGTTGAGTCATGTGAAGGATGCTATGTAGAAGATGATTGCTCTGTGCTTCTTGAAGGTCTGTCGGGCGCTACGAATTTAACACTGATAAGCAAATATTCTATGGTATGTTTTATCTTTTGCTAACTCCTTGTCTTGATTGCCATCCAACATCATCCTTGTATCAAATATCAGCGAATCAAAGTATGAATGTCAAACTTGTTCCTAATATCCAGTTAAATGTTTTTCATGAATCCACTCTTTCTTGTCATCATCTTTCTATGCAGACATCTCCTAGAATAGGTTTTTTTTTTTGAATTTTCACCGGGGGAGGGGGGGGAGCCCCCCCACCACCTGAATATATATTGCGTAAAGGGGACAAACCCCTGAGAGTCAGATTACACAGAGAGCTTTACAGAAGGACGAGGGAAGGGGACCTAACCAGGCAGCCAGCCATCATGCCAGACTACCGGCCCTAAGAACAGCAAGCCAGACGTCGATATGAGAGCGGTCACCCTCCCGCAGTCTGGCGCGCCACAACACCGCGTCGTCCCGGCACGCCTTCAGTGTAGCAGCCAGGGACCACGAGTCATCCCTGAAGACCACCGCGTTCCGTCGCTTCCAGAGCCACCAACAGCAAAGGAGGATGAAGGACGCCGGAGAGGCAACTCCGACAGCGGGCGAAGCATCGAAAAGGTGCAGGCTCCCCACGGAGGCACCAGCGGGCGATAGCCCAACGCACCGCCAGAACTGAACCGCAAACGGACACCCGAAGATCACGTGATCGGCAGTTTCTAGCGCCGCCTCACAGCAGGGGCACCCCGCTTCCGCAGTCGTGAGGATGGTTTTCCGAAGGAGCACGTCCCTCGTATGGATGCGTGACATGGAGAGGAGCCAACCGAAGAATTTGACGCGCGACGGGACGCGGGACGACCAGAGGAAGGACGCCGGGGCCGCCTCCACCCCACCATAGGTCACAAGGGCATACGCACCTCTAGCAGAGAAGCCCCGGTTGGGCCTCGCGCACAGCATGGCGAGACGGGAGTCCGGCCCCTCCCTAGGCAGGCAACCATCTACCATACGCTGAACAGCAGCGCACTCCTCAGCGGCCAGGGGGGTGAGCCGCGGCACAAGCAAGGACCGCACACCTCGCCGACGCACCATACACACCGAGACCTCCAAGCTGGCAGCATGGGAGAAGAGGGCGGGGTAGGCCACCCGGAGCACCCCACAGGAGAGCCAATCGTCGTGCCAGAATGAGGTCGCCCGCCCGTCGCCCACCTCCACACGCGTGAGTGCTCGGTAGACGGGCAGCAACCCAAGGAGGGCCCCACAGTGCTCCCCCACGAGAGGGGAGCGACCACGGCTCAGGAGAGATCGCCCGTCCAGTAGGTTCCAAACCCAGCAGGCCCATCGGGACTGCACTCTGGAATGAAGGCGATGGAGTAGCTTGAGGAGGAGGCAGTCGTTCTGAGCCCCCAGGTCGCGAACGCCGAGGCCTCCTTCAGCCCTAGCTCGACAAACCCGGTTCCAGGCGACGAGGCACTGAGCACCAGAGGCCCGACCCGCAACGTTCCAGAGGAACGCACGCCTCAGTCCATCCAGCTTAGCCAGGACAGCCGGCGGGAGCCGCATGGCTGCCATGGCATAGGTAGGGAGGGAGTCCAGGACTGCGTTGATAAGGACCAGCCGCCCCGCGGGGGACAGAAGCCTAGAGCGCCATCCCGCAAGATAGCGGTCCACCTTGGCCAGCATCGGGGCAAAGTCGTCGACCTTGAGCTTGTCGCTGGACAACGGGAGCCCCAAGTAGGTCTGCGGGAAGGTGCCAACGCTGCACCCGAATGCCGCCACCACCGCCGCAAGCACCGCCTCGTCCACATGCATGGGGACAAGGA